TTATAGGACAAGACAAAGGAAGAAACATTTTCCATTTTAAGACGTAAGTCTGTATTTCATCACAGGTGGATTTGCATGTGTACATTTTTGATGTTGCAGTAAATCAGCAACCATAGAATTAACAATCTCCTTCCAATAATGGTCATATTTATTAAAGTCTTTTCTGAAATAAATGTTAAAAGTATAGTAATCAGACTGGACGAGTGAAATAAAGAACAACAGAACATAGACCAGGTCAGGATAAGAGGAACAGAAAGGAAAAGATTCATAGGAATTTACCGATGAGATTCCTTAGTAAAGGAGAGCAGAGACAGCTAGTAGGAGCCTAAGTTTTGTTGATGCAGAATGGGATGATGAATATTTTTTTTTTTCCAAGAGAAGCACTTCATGCAAATGAATAATGGAGGTGAGGCTTATCAGCATGCTGGAAGCTTACAATTATTCAAATTACGCAAAGCCACCAAATATGTGAAAAGCAAAACAGAAAGAACCGTTAATTCCCATTCTGTCCCCTAGCATTCTAGGGTTTTACCCACATTTGTGATAGAAAGATACTTCAACCTTGAAATTAAACAGAGAACACAGTGTGGTGATTTAGTTACACATTCACTATTTACTTGTTTTAAAGGTGATCTAGGCAAATGTACAACATTGAAGTATGCATGTTTTTAGTGTGCAGTCCAATTCAATTCATGTCTTGCATGATGGATTTGGAGTTTCAGATCATTCTAGTTAATAGAAAATGTGTTAATTAAGATCAGTTTAATAATGGTGTTTTTGGAGAATTAAAAAAATGTTTGATTCAAGCACCACATTTCCGTACTGGAAAGCTACAGTGCTTTGAAAATGAATATATTGGACATGACATATGTCCTTCACAAATCATCCTTCAAAAATTGGATTTCTGTATTTTCTAAGTTTGAATCCATCTGTCAATCCACAAAGGACCCCTCCCTTTCCTCTCTCCCAGCCGTCCCCTTCCTCTCCATACACCTGTGACATCAATAGCTTAAGGCAGTGGCTGCCAACTAGAGTCCTGGAGACCCGTTGGGGAGAGAGGCCCCAAAAAATGTTGGCTTTTTGTTGAATTGGAGAAGAAATTCACAGCATAAGCATCTCTCTGTTAGTTCCCATTGAGCTGAGTCCCAATTATAATGTGGCCACAGGGATCCCTTCCTGTGTGTCCTAACAATGTCTCTTTTAAAGATGTCAGGAAAATGGCCTAATGGTAAGTTCCATCACAAAAGAAATATCAGACTAAGGGGATCTGATAGTCTGGAAAATCCACTGCCACTAGCAAGCATTTATGTTCTGGGGCGAGCTACCAATCTTGTTGTGCTGATATTCTTTCATCTGTAAAATGGATACAACTATTGTTTATTGAGGTTGTACTATGTGCTATGTACTTCCATACTTAATCTCTCTTAATCTTCATGATAACATTATGAAGTAGGCATGATTATACACTTACTCATCCCTTTGTAGAAGAGAAAACTGATGCTTAGAGATGTCAGGTATTGACCAAGATTGCACAAGCATGGAGAAAAGGTTTGAAAGCAAGCCCTCCTCAGTGCTTGATCTTAATTATCGCACTGATTTCCAGTATGCTACTTAGCACCTACCTCATAGTGTTGTTTCTGGGATGAATTTATTTAATGCATGTAAAACACATAGCACAAATACCTGAAAATAAAAGCTAGCTTCAGCATCTGGATACAACAGCAGCAACAACAAAGTCTTCTTAGGTAAACTTTTTACTAATCCCCTTCCAACATTCCCCTCACCTTTCTTCAGTGCTAATGAATTCAGAGACAGTACCATCTAATGGGTATCTGTTCATGTAATCAAGACCTTTTGATTATTCCCTAATTATTTTATGAAGAATATGTTTCTCTACAGTTCTGTTGTTTTATGTAGGGAGAGTCAAGGAGCAATGGGTTTTTGGTTAGAAGATCAGCATGGATTCTTAGCTCTTCCACTGGACTTTGAGGAAAAAAATCTAAGTTCAGTTTTCTTATTTCTGAAAAGGGAATAATGATACCTGTTTTTTGCTCCTGTCAGCTCTAGAATAAAATTCAAATTAAAGCAAGCATATGAAAGGCTTTATAAACGTCAATGTGCCATAGAAATATAAAGGTGGTGTTAGCAAGGGTTATGACATCTTCTGCTTCCCTTTCATTCATCCATTTTTGTGTGTCTATCAACATAAAAAGCAAGAATTTTTGACTTGCAAATTTTACTGTTAGACTGAACTGTTGAATGATACAATCAAAGGAGGATGCATTCACATTTTATTTTTATGTGAATAAATTAAGGACAATTGTTTTTCCCTTTTACTTTTTTTTCCCCCTTGTGGCAAATGAGCTCATCTGTTGATATTTAGACCAAAGATTCAAATTTCCTTCTGGAAAGTATTTAGGCTATAAAAGCTCATGTGAGCTAATCAACCTGTGTGAGGTTGTTTGGTTTGTTTCAGATGGTGTTAGAGGTTGGTCCCCCTGAAGAAGACTTTGACACAGAGATTTAAATATAAGAAGGCTATTAGGAAACACCCTTGGGTTCAAAACCTGGGGTGAAAGAGAAGTAAATAGGATTGGGCAAAGGGAAAAGGTTACTTTAATCAAACTCAGAAAAGGTCTCAGCTGACCCCGTGGGTAACTCTAATATGGGATGATCCTTCAGAGTTGCCCTGAACTGGGGAGGAGGGACTGAATCTTTGTACTCTCACAACAGCCAATCTTGGATGCAAAGCTTCCCCATGGAAGATGACATGGCTTAAGGTGAGTTGGCTTTCTTCAGACAAAAGCAATTCCCAGAAGAGACTGACAGCCAGGAGCACTTGCAGCTGCTGGGAGATCATGCCCTTTAGTTCTGAAAGGGACCCTGTGTAGCACATTACAGTATCTACTACAGATAGCAATGTACCTGCTTTACCAGATCTACTTATGATTCTCATCAACACCCTCCTGGTGAATTATCATGCAGACTCAGGTAAGTTATTACCTTATGAGTATTTCTATCTAAGTTTAGACAGAAAATAATTCTTATTACATTATGCTGAACCTTATATTAAGCTGAAATCTGACACCAGATTCTTTAATCCTTGAAAAGAGAAGATTCTGAGGGAACTGTACTGAAGAGCTCGACTTAGCATTGGAACAAAGTGAGAATAGTACAATATTTGGAGCTCAAAAATGTTTGCTGGAGGAATAAAATGTTGGGTGAAATGGAGAATTTATGTAGCTAATGGCTATAGCACCAATCTTTACTCACAGTCACAGTTTTCAGCCCCTGAGTAAGAATAATGCCTAATACTTTTTGAATATTCACTACATACTGGATACTGTTGTAAGTTCATTACATAAGTTAACTATATTAATATCACAATAACCCTATGGGATGGGCATTATAACCACATTTTACAAGTGAGAAAACAGGCTCAGAGAGATTAAAATGTATATCTAAAGTCACATGACTAGTAAATAAGGAAAACCAGAACACTTACATCGCATAAAGGGAATGGTAGTAAAGGAAATTTGCATCTCACATTTTAATCCTTACTCATTTTCCTAACCTTTTCTTCTTCTCTTTGCCATATGCATTAGTTTCCTAGGGCTTCCCTAACAATGTAGCACAACTTGTGTGATTTAAAACAACAGAAATTTATTCTCTCACTCTTCTGGAGGCCAGAAGTCTAAATTCAAGGTATTGGCAAAGTTGTTTTTTTTTCTAGAGAGCTCTGAGGGAAAGTCTGTTCCATGCTCTTAGCTTCTGATGTTACTAACAATCCTTTGCGTGAAGACATACCACTCCAGTCTCTATCTCCATCATCACATGGTATTCTGCCTTCGTGTCTGTCTCTAATCGAATTAAGGCCACCTTAATAAAGAATGATCTAATCTTAATTACATCAGCAAAGGCATTGCTTCCAAATAAGATCACATTCACAGGTACCAGGGGTTGGGAATTCAACATATCTTTTTGGGGAATACAATTCAACCCATAATATCACATAATTGTCAAGAAGATTAATTCTCAGAGAACACAATAATTCAACCAATGGATATTTCTTATGTGCCTAGAATGTGTCTGGTATCATGCTAGCCACTGAAGGGAGAGTGATTAACAAGCAAACTCTCTACCATTCAGTCAAAATATTTATTAAGCATCTATTATTTATCAGGCACAGGTCCAAGAAGAGAGAATACAGTAATTAACAGGATAAAGTCTCTATTCGTAAGGAGTTTATCTTCAAGTGAGACGAGATAGACAATAAACATATTAACAAATATGATAATTTATGATACCAACATGTGTTATGAAAAAATTAAAGTAGGAAAATATGAGGAAGAGTGACTGGGGAAGGGTGGGTAAGTGTATCTAAAGAGTCAAGGAAGATCTCCCTGGGAGGGTAATGTTTGAGTTGAGAGCTGAGTGACTAGAAGAAAGTGGCCATGGAAAAATGTTGGAGCAGAGAATCCAAGCAGAGGAGCAGCCAAGGGTAAAGACGCTGGTTGGGAATAATGTAGAATGTTTAAGAAAGAAAAGGAAAGCCATTTCTCTAAAGTGTATGAACTAGGGAAAAATGAAAAGAAACATGTTAGAGAAGTAAGTGGTTAAGGGGTTTGGCTTTTATCATCCTTTTAATAGGAAGTTACCTAGGGGCTTATTAAGGACAATATCTTAAATATAAGTTTTAGAAACAAAGCTCTGGCTGCATTCTGTAGGGTAGACTATAGAGGGATAAGAACAGAATCAGGAAGACCACTTAGGTGGCTACTAGGTGAATCCAAACAAAAGATGGGAGGACCTTGGAGTAGGGTTGTGGCAGTGAAGTTGGTGAGAAAGAGTTTGAACAGAGATATATTTTACAATTAGAGAGGATGGACCCTTCTCATGAATTAGATGCAGGGTTTGAATAAAAACATAAATCAAGGATGATACCTCTTCATCAAAAAGCTTATGATATAATCGGTGGCATCACAGAAAGGGATAATTTTAATTCGTTGTGATAATTGCAAGAATAAGCCCAGATGGAATTCCCAAAATCATCTGGGAAAACTTGAAGGGAAGCTAGAGTTCCCTCAAGAGTTGTGGGGATGTATCTTTCATAGCTGATGTTTTGTCCTATTCTCATTTCAAAGGCTGGCTTGCCTTTGAGAAACAGGTTACAGATAGTTTTCTGCACAGAGAGAACCCATATCAGAACACAATGTTTTGATGAAGACTTCTGTTTCATGTCTCCTGAAATGTAAGTGAGTGTGTTTTACAGTACTGGGGAGCCATTTGATGAGGGAGGGCTGGAACCAGAACACGAGATTGACCCTAGCTGTCTCTCTCTGACTCTAGGGCAACAAGACTTGAGGCAATGGGGTGTTGTTCTTGAAAAGAACCTCATGTGAGAACATAATGGGCAGACATAATTTATTTAAGGCCAGTCTCTCAAGATACTGTGGGTCTTTAGCCAGCACAGTTCCTCTCAAAATGTATAATGGGCTCCCTCAGAGAGCACAAGAACTCAGGGTGGAATTTGAATGACTTCATAAGCTCCCAAATCCCATTTCCCTAGACAGCATCATCTGTATCAGTATATAACAAAACTATCAGTAGCATAACCTTAATAATTACAATTGCTGTGCATTAATCACATTAAGAGAGAAATATACTATTGCCAAACGGGTACAGAACTTCCTATAATACCTAAGCAGGTTGTAACTTTACACATACACTGCTTTGTGCTTCCCTCACTTTATCTTTCCAATATTAAAGTTTAGTTTGACATTGCCCCAGGCTGTTTAGCTTATCTTGCTGCTCTTCTAGGCTTCTGACCACTAATTTATGGGTTGTTTCTCTTGAGGATCTATCCCTTTACTGTATCTTCCCCACCATTGACCGTCCTGTTGATTTGCGGCTGGGGTTCTATTTATTTCACCCCATCTGCATGGTAAGCTATTCCAACGTACATTTTGTTAGTCTCTGATTTAGTGGGTGGTTTCTGTGATATATTTGTCTGAAAATATGTTAAGTCTTTCAAACAAGCCATGATCTCTTAGAACTCTGCTTGAAATACCAATCATTACCACCATTTGGAATAGTAAGTTAACCTCACTATTGTGTGCTTTTCTATAAACATAAAACTTCTAAATAAAATATTCAGTGTAAATACTGACTAAAGTAAACTGTAAAGGAAATGTCTAAGAAAAAAAGATAAACTGGAGCAAGATTTAAGCAATTACAACTGGGTAAGCACCGATTAAAGTATTTACTTGACTCTCAACCATGTATATGTATTTGCATATATATCCACATATATGCATGTATATAAAATCAAACTTCTGATATTTTCTCAGAATTAATTTCTATATCCTAATTTTTACTCTTTAGGTTCATAAATCTTTCAGTGTTGTGCTAGAAGTTACTAGTATTTGAAAGCTTAATGCATATCTACTTTGGGCAGGCTTTTGTATAGATACTCAATCCTTAATTGAGTAAAAAGTAGTTAGCATTTTCACCATCTTAGTTCTTTCATTAAGCTTTTCAACTGACTACCTAAGGCCATCCTATTTTCATTTGATAAGGGAAACAAAAACAAATCTTTTTGTATCATTTTCTTCTAAGGCATACTGAGAAAAGGAAATTAATATGTATCGATTCTCCTTTCTTTTCTTAGGACTGATTTAAGAAAACTCTGTGAATTCTCACATTTGCCCATTTTGCTAATTTCTGCTTTTATACTCTACTTCTGAAAAATGGTCATTGACTTTTCTATAACATGTTTAAACTGCTGCCACTTAATTTTAAAGATGCTGAACTCTGCTGCCATGAAAGTTTTAACACACCCTGAGCAAATCACACTGCAACTATTTTAAGTGAAACCAGAGAATGGCTTACCCCAAAACAGTAACTAGTTTTCCCGGTGGAGATAATTATTCAGAATAGTTCAGAATAAAAATCAAGACCATCAGTTTTGAGTATAAATAGAAATAAACTCTAGGTTCTCTAGGTTGTCCTAAGCCTTGGTGAGTGCAAGAATGAAGAAACAATCAAAATTAAGTGAAAAGAAATTCTAGGCAATATATTTTTTTAAGATGTGATAAGAAAAAACCTGAAAGCCCACTCTGAGACCTTACAATTTCTAAAAGTGAAAGGAATGTCAAAACAGCATGTATAGGAATTTTTTAAAAATCTGAATACTCAGGACTTACCTCTGTGAAACAGCTACTGACTTGTAGAATCTTGGAGGTGATGGTAGCCAATCAGAATAAGCAGATTTTTGTCAAATATCAGATTCCAACATTAAATACACAATCAAAATCAAAGTCAGGCATCAGCCCACATGCTCCACATCTTTCCTGGAAAGCAAAAGATATGAACAGAAAGGATGACAACATGTTACCATGGGGAGGTCATCCAAAGAAATCATAATTAATTAAGCAAACACCATTAAAAATAAATTATTGTATTGTCACTGCAAACTTTCCTGTTATATTAGCTCCTAGATATTTTATTATTTCTAATCTCTTTCTGCAGGTACTGATGCTTTTTGATAGTAAGTGAGAGCAAACCAAGAAAAAATGCACATTGTGCATTAAGTCATCTCGTAAGTCTTTCAAGAACACTATTTGAGAAATGTTGATTTCCACATTGCTATACCCTTTGGCACACTGCGATGTATTAACTGGTGAGTAGTACATAAAATAAAACATCAACATTCTAAGTTTCATATTCATGACAGCTAATGAGGATTAACACAGTGGTCTTTTTTATAGATACATGTTTTGGAAAATGTCTCTCTATATATCATTAGTGTATAATGGCATCATTTAGAAATTTAGAGAAAAACATAGCAATTTTATCTTACTTAAAATATTCTTCTGAAGGGATTCACTTTCAAGTAATTCAATGTTCCTGAGTGCTGGTGACATTATCTTTTCAATAATAATTAGACAAAAATGAAATCATTGTGTCATGGAAAAATTTATTGCAAGTTGTATATAAAATCATTTCCCTCTGTTGCAGATTTTATCTTTCCTTTGGAATTACTCTGAGGTGAACCATTACAAATGATTATTAAGGGATACAATTAAAGTTGTGCTGCCTTCTGATGTTTGGGGGCATTAAATACCCCTGGTTCTTTTGATGTTTTTTGTAACTTATATTTCTTTCAAAGCTTAGGTAGCTTAATTTATATGACTAGGTGACAGTGTACTTCTTCTTATATGTCATAGAAAACTGATGAAAAGATGAGAATATATGGCTCATCATGATGATACTCAGGTATAAAGAAGTATTAGATAAAATGTAGAGTAATTGGGGAAAAGATTTATGTCTTGTGCCAGTCATATGAATTTTAAAAATACCTTTACTTTTTAACATTGAAAAAGAGAATGTTTACTATCTATTTTCTTTCTTATATTTACCTGTACCATACATCAGTACATGTGCGCATTCATTAAACTAAATGTGGGCTTTTATTTTGTAAATCAAGAAAATAGAAGCAGTTTCTATAGAGGAATAGAGAGGAAAATGAATGGAGGGGACCAGCATAGCTTTTGTTCCTTCAAACTCTCTGCTTTTGTTATTGTTTTTGATTACTTAGTGTTAGAGAAGCTATTTTGATGAGAGATTTTGGAAATTCATGTATAGCATATTTTGTTTTGGGATCCAGATGACAAAAGCTAGCAAAAAATTTTGGAGAAGGCAATTCTTACCACCTATACCAAACATTCTACAATGTTGTGTCTTCGATAACATTGACAGGTAGCCTTCTTTGTGCAAATGTTCTTGTAAGGGGTAGCAGCAATGAAAAGGCTCTTCAAGTGACTTGTTGTGTATCATTCTTCAAAAGGAAGATCCAGAGCAGAAGCAGAATGTGATGGGTATCATGTATGTACTGTAGCTGATAGTTTGGGTTGCAAACACACTTATATGTTGGGGGAATGTCCTAGAAAATATGTGGGAATCATAAAGATCCTGGTGGTTCTGCGTGAATAAGTGAGGGTATTTTATAGGAATATTGGTTTATTGATTTTATTGTAGGTTTATTTGTACTCATCAGATAAAGTGACTTAATATTTGGGGATTGTACATTTTATCCTATCTTAGTTTTAATCTCTGGATTAAAGTCAGAATAAAGTGTAGATCCCAAAATATTGTGTTAGGATACTTTGTGTCAGGTGTCTCAGTGATGTGTGATATAAAGGTTTGTTTCTCGCTTAGGGGAAATCTGATGCAGGTCAGATGTCTTCCATTTTTAGTTATGCTTCGTGGGGGCCATGATTACCATGTTCATTGCAACAGAGGGAGGGAGGGAGGGATAGAAGAGGCACCCAACTCCTGGTACCAAAATCTGTATTAGTCAGCCTTCTCTAGAGAAACAGAATCAGTAAGACACAGATAGACTGATGGATTGATAGATGTCTATCTATCTATCTATCTATCTATGTGTCTATCTATCTATCATCTATCATCAAGAGATTTATCAGAAGGAATGGCTCACATGATTATGGAGGTGAGCAGATCCAAAGATTTGTATGATAAATTAGCAAGCTGGGACCAGGAGAGCCAATAGTTTAGTTCCAGTCCAAAGGCAGGAAAAAAAATGATGTCACAGTTTGAAGGCAGTTAGGCAGGAAGAATTCTCTCTCACTTGGGGGAGGGCAGCCTTTTTGTTCTATTCAAGCTTTCAATTGATTAAATGAGGCCCACTCACATTAGGGAGAGCAATCTGCTTTACTCAGTCTATCTACCAATTTAAATGTTAATCTCATCCAAAACATCCTCACAGAAACACCCAGAACAATGTTTGACCAAATATCTGGGCACCTTGTGGCCTAGTCAAGTTGTCACATAAAATTAACCTCAAGTTTACACCTTGCAATTGGGCACCCATACAAATCTCCTTAAGCCACACTTAACCTTCAAATAAAGATAATACCAAGGTCATCACTCTACCTAAAATGATACAACTATCCTGTGTATGATAGAAAACTCACTAACTACTTTCTCAGAAGAGGAGGTGAAGCTCTTGAGTAATGTTTACTCTTTTTGATATCCTGCATTTAAATATGATGTACAGTTAACAATACTTAAATACTATGATATAAAATCAAACAATCAACGTATTATTTTACGTTATAAGGGAATAAGAAAGGGAAGAAAACAGACATTTGCTTAAAATTATACACACACACAAACTATCTGTTATAGTCTTAACAAAATAAGGAGGAAATACTTGTGACAATTAGAGTCCTTGGTGAGCCCTAAACATCTCCAGTATGATAGCTGAAGTTTGAAAAGTGAAAAGCACATATACAAGTCAAGCTTTGTACCAAAGCTTCAAAGTCAAACAGACATTTGTACTTTTGGACCATATAAAGCAGTTTTATTTGAGTATCAATTCTATGTTCTTTGCCTAAGTGAAAAAAAAATGATTTTTATGCCTCAGTTCTGGATGACTCTTCTATTGATTTTTTGCTTCCCACACTGATGATATAGCCACATTGGCTATTTCCTTAGGGAATCTCAGACATTTTCACTATAGAGTCTGCATTAATCAAATATGAAGTTATCCAGGTTATTCAGTAAGAAACGAAAGTCCACAGTAGATTCTATCATCTTGTAGTCATTTTTGAGGTGCAGACAAGCCTCTTCACCAACTATTCCTCTTCTCGTAAAAGTACATTTTTGGGATTCAAAAAACAAAAAAATTGTACCACATGGACTTATTCCTCTGTTTACCCACAAAGTATGGTGCTGCTATGTCATCTTCCCATCCAAAGCAACCATCATTCAGAAATAAAATTGTAAGAAACAGGTCTACTTCTACCCTTAAAGACTCTTCCTTCCATGAGTCTTGCTCTCTATCCAAGACTAAGCTAAACACCAGGTGTGCTTAAAGGTTTCTTGTTTATCTTCCTCTCAAACAAAACACAACTACATAAAAAATTATGATTATAACTATAGTAATAATAATTCTTATTTTACTGAAAAGCCACAGTTGAGAAAAAATGGATGAAAACCCAGAAGAAAGGAGAAAGGAAGGAGAACAATCAGGAAGCATGCTGCCAAAGGAACACAAATTAACGAGATGATTTTACTACCAATTACTCAAGTGATTTCCTAGATCTTTATTTACTTTTTTATTCTCCAGTAGTTTGATTGCAGCAGTTACCTCCTAGTTTGGCTCTCTTTACATGATACTTAAAAATTTGATAGATTTAGTCAACTAATGAGAATACTAAATTTACGTTTGTCATCATGTGACTAAAACAACAAATATTCTCTGGATTAACATTTTTCTACTAAGTTCTCTTGAAATCAAGGACACATGGCTTGACCCAATTAATATACAAAACAAAGTTCTCTCTTTCACAACTTATTCCAATAGATGTGTTCAGTGGGGGGTATTAAGCAAGTCACCTGGTTCTTATTTAAATAATATTCTTCAGTTAAGCAAACCCAGGGTTATACACTTTATTATAAAGATTTCTTCAGCATGTAGAAGGGTGTACAGAGTATGTATACATCTGTGTGTTGGCATATGTATTTGTGTGTATGGATTCTGATGCAAAACAAGATGTAAAATTAATTCGAGATGGGACACAATCAAATCTCCAATTCAGTTTTGTAGTGTTCCTGATCAGCCTTTTTCTTTTTTTTTTTGACTCAGCGCCTTACCTTTAGACTTTGTTCTGAAAGAATATGGTCACTATCACTACTTTGTGACAATACAGATTTTCAGTCAACATGTTTGCAGTATGAACACTTCTTCTCATACTGTACTTATCTGCTTTGATGTTTCTGACTCTTTCCTTAGATAGGATTTCTTGTGTTATTTTCTTCTCCCAGATCAAAGAAATGTCACAAAGCCCAGGGATTTCATATCTTAGTGTACAGAAAATTCAAGGGTATGAAGTTTAGGAAGATTTAAAAGAAACATCTGAGTAATGCAACTCTGATAGCCAGGTGTTACTTGCAGCTTTATATTATCATATAGGGATGATAGAACTGAGATGAGGTCTGGGAATCACAATACATTTTTTTTTGGTATAAAATACAGTTTACAAAGAACATTCACATATATCATATATATTCATATATATTTATATATATACATATAAACTATATAAATATATTCATACATATTTACAGCAACTCTAAAGAAAGATGGAGCAGATATTATCTTAATTTCACCAACCACAAAATCAGGAGCCAAAGAATTTTTGTAAACTAATATTTTAGCAGTGGGACAATGATTAGAAACTATCTAATCTAGTGTATGCCAAACAATGCTAGTCCAAGTTTATACAGCTGGTAAGGGGTAAAACTAGGACTCTGGTATTCCCAGCCAAAGTTCTTGAGTAAGAATTGAGATTCAAAAGCTGGGGAAACCAGATATATAGATGAGATCCAAAAGACTAGAGTAAGACCATAGGCAGGCAATGGAGCCAGTGGTCAGAGTGATTGAGTAATAAGACTAGAGTAGTCTGAACAGGCAGAAGACTCCTAGGTCATTATTGGAAAGTGATGGGGGGCTATGAATTGGGAGTGTGCTATGTCAATCATCATGTTGGTATAAAAGCACAGAATCAGAAGAGACAATGTCTCCATAGAATTTCTGGACTGTGAAAGAAAGAACTTGGTCATCAGATTCACCAGTCAAATCAATGTTGGATCCAG